TTTATAACTAAATACCATTTTTTATACCTCAATTAGAATTAAATTAATTAATTGACAAAATAATGTTTTTTTACCTACCTTAAATGAGGTATCATAATTAAAAATAGTACAACAATCCTTTAAATTAAAGGATTTAATGCTGGCAGGTAAAAAGTGACCATTTCAATTGATAATTATCACCGAATGAAATAATGTATAAAACTTAAATACGAGCCCTAACCACATAATGTTCGGACACTTCATAATTTATACAGAAATTTTTTTCGTGAATACTATCTCAAAATTATTAGAAGTTATGAAAAATTCAGCTTATTTTGGCATATACCCCTCGAAGCGATTTTTATTTTTAAAAAGTTTACCTTTTATTTTTAGCTTTTAAAAAAAGGCTAACTTTTTAACTTTTTTTTGCATGAGTAAAAAAAGTTATAAATGGGCCCATTAAAAAGAACATAAAATATTATACAAACCCTGAAAATTTGGTAAAAATTGTATAAATAATAAGAAAGTTATAGCGATATATATATCTGCAAAATCTCCCGTTTCCTAAGAAAATTGCAAAAACTCTTTAAAAATAGCATTTTTAAATTACTTATACTTTTTTATAACTTATTTATTTTTTACCAAATTTTCAGGGTTTGTATAATATGTTATGCTCTTTTTAATGGGTCCATTTATAACTTTTTTTACTCATACAAAAAAAAGTTAAAAAGTTAGCCTTTTTTTAAAAGCTAAAAATAAAAGGTAAACTTTTTAAAAATAAAAATCGCTTCGAGGGGTATATGCCAAAATAAGCTGAATTTTTCATAACTTCTAATAATTTTGAGATAGTATTCACGAAAAAAATTTCTGTATAAATTATGAAGTGTCCGAACATTATGTGGTTAGGGCTCGTATTAGTTAAAAAATCTATTACAAATATGAAAAAATGTTTTAGACAAAATCTACCTAATTTTAGTCGAATGAAGAGGACCAATTTTAGTACTGATTGATTTCCCCCAAAGTTAAATGACTCACAATGTATACTCTATAGAGGGGGTTTCAAGAAACACTTTCTGCAAACGTTTTATTTAAAAACTAAGAATAATGACTCTTGCCAGCCTATATATTTACTCTCTTGTTATCAAAATAATATACACACTAGGGTGTGCCAAAAAAACTCGATATTTTTTTTTCTTGCTCTCCACCCAAAATATCATAGAATATGTCCGAACAAATATTCTGTTAAAAGCGGAGCTCATAATTTCAATTTTAAGAGGTCCTTCATCGAATCTGAAGTTTTTCCGCTTAAATAACACAGAAAACTGACTTTTGGACAAAAAAATCTTATTAAGCCGAATTTCTATTTTCATTATTTGATTTTTTAAAATGTTACGTTTTTTGCCTTTTTCAGCTAAACCATTGAAGTTAGACGAAAAAGTCAAATGGCAATTTTTTAGCTTGTCTGATGGACCACAAAAAAGTTTTAGGCGAATTTTTTATATCGTCAATATTCTAAAAGTTACAGGCGTATAAAGTCATCATTTTTGTATTATTAACTTTTTGTTAGTAAAATATTAATGTTAGCACAAAAAGTCAATAGGAAATTATAAAAAAAAAAGAATTTTGTTCGGACATATTCTACGATATTTTGGGTGGAGAGCAAGAAAACAAAAATATCGAGTTTTTTTGGCACACCCTAATACACACAAAAAAAATGATTTTCACAAATATAAAACTAGACCATGCAATTATCTGCAGCAACCATCAGACAGAACACTTGTCAAAAAAATCGTAGATCTATAGGTATTAAAGTTACTAATCACTTGTTTAAAAAACATAAATGCCTTCAGCAAGCCAAGTTTAATAATTTAAAATATAAACTAAATCAAATTCTTATTGACAAGTGTTACTATAGCCTCAACAAATTTCTCTCTGAAATTATTTTATATACGTTTTTATTTACTATTATTTATGTATAATTAATTATGATGACCTCTAAAATTTAATATATATATATATATACAGGGTGTACAGTGACATCCAGTGGCTCCCTGGTTTTTTAAACAAAAATTCCTTTTATTAAAAAATAGTAGGTCTAATGCAAAAATGATATAGGAAAAACTTTTTTGTTTTGGCGTGTACTATCATCACTTATTAGGTGACACCCTGTATGTGTGGAGAATGAATCCGTAAAAGTAAAAATTGTACCCATAGTGGCCCCTTTTTTGCTTTTCCATTTTTGCAAGCAATTAAACTGGTCTGTTGACGGGCACTACCACCTGTAAATGCGAGCGCAGTTTGTCAGTTAACACGCACGATTTTGCAAATAGTATTCAGCGCGACATCGACTAGAGAATAGTTGGGGAAAAAACGTCTGGATTCGCGACACAGCACAACACCCATGTCAGCCGGCAAGAACTTAAACACAAGGTAGCCTGACCTTAACCTGGAAACAAGAGAATCATGAATTTGACCGGGACTCGGCCCGTTTGGGTTTTTTCGTCCGCCATAGCGCTCAAGCGGGTCACCCATAAATGTTTTCCGGTGCGATTAATAAGTGGAAGTAACACCTTCGTTATCGTCGGGTGTCGACGAGCAATATGGATTACCCATGGGGAAGAAACACGTTAAATCATTTAAATTGGCGATGTTACCGATGAGATGATGACCTGCTTGGGTACTGGATCAGAGCGAAAATTCTATGTTATTGTGCATTTAGGGCCACGATTTTAATAGAACACGACGATGTCGATTTCAGGACATCGGAAAATAAGTTAGGATTTTGTCGTTTTTATGTTTAGAATTCACGAATACAACACACAACGGATTTTCAAGTAGTTAACGTGTGAAGGAATAATTTTTTCAAATTGATTCGATGATCAATTTATCACAATACATGTACGTCGTAGATAATAATAATATCTTTATTGCCCAATTACAGGATAATTTCAATAATACAGACTATATAATTATAGATAGGTACTAATGTAAATATAAATTTCAATCAATACCAATGCAAATATTAGTTTAGCCAACTTCAAAATAATTAATGGACAACGGTGTAAGCCTTTCACTGCAATATCACATTCATTGCATATTTAATTGAAGTTACCACTCATGACAAATACTGGAGATTTTTAAAGAACATTGGTTTTGGTATTGGTACTGTCTATTTCATTACTAAATTGCCCGTATAGACTTCTACATTGCAAGGACCAAACATTAAATCTATTCAACAATAAAACAGGCTCAGTACCTCTAGCAGGATAAATATGGTCAAGCCTAAAAGCTAGCATATTTAAAAATCGTCTTTGTACTTTTCTAATTGATCAATGTAGGTATTATGAGATTGATAACAAACAAGAGAGCAGTATTCTAGCTTGGTACGAAACAATTTACAAAATACAAAACTTTCAATGCGCCCTCACAATCATTGATTAAGTATTTCTATTAATAAAACCAACCTGAAAATAATAATTTGGTATTAAATATACTCTCAGGTCTTTGGTTATGGAAATTCGATTTTTTTTAAGTTTGTTAAAAATTGAGGATACACCATTCATTTACCAAGTTTAGCTAATATTGTAAGTATATACAGTCTGATGGATCTGAAATATCAACAAACAATTTCAAATCATCAGCAAAAAACAAAATTGAAAATGTCATTAATAAAAAGGGCAAATAAAAGTGAACACAAGTTAGAACCCTGGGGTACTCCAGAGCCTGGACTTAAACTATCGCAACTAAATCCATTGTAGGCCACAAATTTCAATGGGTTGCATACTTGACAATACATAACGATAAAACTAGATTTATTACCCATTTGCCCGCACAAAAGCAACTTTAGGATAATTCAAAATTAGCTACGGCTTGCTAATCGAACGATACCTATATTTTAAATTGTCTCGTTCCCTTATTAGGCGATATATTACAAAGCATCGATTCACACGAACTCATAGCCGTAAGTGGGTCGGCATTAAACCCGAAATCGATTTAAAACTTTAATGAATGGTCCAAACTTTTGACCGGTCCAAAAATCAAGAGCAAGGCAGATAAAGCACAAGGAAATTAGCGGCCGATCGTAACGGTATCTCCGAGGGCATATTTCGTTTGTATTGTTGAGATTTTTATGCGACAGTCGACAGTATCTTCATGTGTGGCCTTCAAGCAAGGATAAAAAGCATCGAGATCATTCTTACATCAATTTCAACACTCATTCTAAATTATTTGATATCCAAACAATTGGATTTGTGTCGCATAAGAGGAAGTATCGCACGGTATGCATTGTGTGCTCAATGTGCTGCACTTGGTCCCCGTATTCTTCTCGCGAGGAGACTCCCACGCGTTCCCACGGTCAGGTCTTCTGACGCCTCGAGACAACCGACCACACCACGGTTGCCGTCGACATTGACACGCTTTCAATGATCTCCCTTGGAGAACTCTTTGTCGTTCGAGTCGCCAATCATTTTTTTACAATGTCTCTTCCTCCTTAAAGACTTAATGTATAAAAAACACGAGTCGTCGCGGCGAATGTTTGAAATTGCGTCATCAAATTCTGAACCAAGCACAGACATTACAATTGTTGTTGTTTTCTTTTATGTATATAATCCAAGGAACCGCTAGATTAGGTACAACCACTCGGATCTAAATGCAAACCTGTTTGTAACATTTGAATCTGGTTTTCGCTTATCACGATTAATAACAGTTTTTGAAGACTAAATGCCGCACAAACCCTCTGAATCCTTCTAAGGACATTTCGGTTAACTTTGCCAACAGACGGACGGTATCGTGTTTCACCCACTGCAGCGAATATCTGATAGTTGATCGTGTCGCGCCATAAACAACACCGAGAGACAGACAAATATGAAATGTAGAAAGGCGCGAACTTGAACGTAGGGATGACAGAGTACATGTGTGCGCACCGATCTTAACTGCGGTAATGTAGTTGTCTTGTACGGTCATAAATCCTGCGAGTGTGTGTGTTATATTGTTTTTATATTTTTGTTATTTTTTTGTTGCAGAAAATCTTGAGTCAGTCGGTGGTCAGCGTGCACGTGGAGGTGCGGCCCAAGTACCTCGTGCCAGACACCAACTGTTTCGTGGACCATTTGTCCAGGATAACCGTTTTGGCCGCTTCGCAGTCCTACACCCTTATGGTGCCCATTGTCGGTAAGTAAATGCCATATTTTGTTGTACAGACGTGTAATGACGGGAGACTTGAACCACTTCTTGCATAAACGTCTTGAAATTGTTTAAAATATCTTAAACCGTTTTATGTTCTTGAAACTTGAAAAAGGTGATATGTTTTCGCAAACGATGTTGGCATCTTCAAAAGCAGAAATCTACCATTATAAGCTAAGGTTGACTGAACCGTGCACGGACACAATTTACTAAACAGCCTTAACAAACTAATTTATACAAACTAGAGTTGGGTACCGGTCCATTTAAAGATATATTTTTATTCTTATGGATGTATAAACTTTCATAACTACCTAACAGACTTCTTAATAAGTTTAAGAATGTCAAATCCTATTCTATGACCATCATCAAGTATTTGTTGGGCAACACTCGATTTCTCTGTCCTACCAAATCTAGCATGGACTTGAACCTTACTTGGATGGATCGTTTAGTTTGTCCAACATTTTTTTTCGCAATCTTGACAGTTTATTTGGTAGATCTTCGACTTTTCAATTTTATGAATCTTATCTTTCGGGTTGCCTAAATGGTCTAAAGTGTGTTACTGCTGGAACTAAAAGCAATTTTGAAGTCCAGTTTTCGAAAAATCCCTACTGAGGTTCTGAGCTCTGTTTGAAAATTGGTTAACGACTTCAATTTAATTTTATTTACTAACTTATCTACTAGGGTGGATTCAAAACCATTGTCTCTAGCAATGTCTTTTATAAAACTAAGATCTTTTTTCTATCTACCGTTTATTAAGTGGAAAGTTTATCAACCTACGAACAAGAAAGTTTCAGCTAGCCCGCTTATGTTGTGTGCAGTGGTTCCAGTCTGAAGTGATGTAACTTGCAGTGCTGGTAGATATTGAACTCCAGAGTATTGTTAGATCTAATCGCTAGGGTGTCTAAAAATGGTAGGTGGTCATCTTTGTCCAATTCAAAGGTGAATTTAATAGAGGGAATGCAGTTATTCAATTTGGAAACAAAATCATCTAAGCTGCAAGCGTTTTGAAAGAAAATAGCAAAGATATCGTCCACGTATCTTAACCAAATCCTCGGAAAATACTACGAGCGGCTAATGAAAAGATCGGCTGAAAAGGGGGACAAGGAGTTTCCCCTTCATGCTGTTTATAGAAGCAACCGTTGACTTGCAAGTATTCAGCATCAGTCTCATTGGAAAAACTATTTTCTTTGAGTAAATCCTCTAGATAAGTCAATGTAAGTGGTACAGCGACACTTGAAAAACTCATTGTCTTGCAGTGTAACACTTTTGGCTTTCTCGATAAACTCCATTGAGTTTTTAACTGAAAAACATGGGAGGTTATTAAATTCATTTGTTAACCATTTAGCTGATTTGAATACTGTTGAAAATGTCCCAAGACAGTCTTGTAACTGTTTGAAGTAAGGGGTGGTTCAAGTGTCCAACCTGGTCAAGTCTCTCTCCCCCACCTTTTTCTTCTGACTTTTACTGAAACTTAAATTAAGAAGTGTGTTGACGTAAGAAACAAAAAACTTGTTTCCGTGCAGTACGACTTTCATTGATCCAATTAGACATGGAAGCTGAATTTTAAAAACTGCAATACGCTATGCGTAGGGATATTTGAACGTTTCGTACGTGGAAGTGGCAGTAACTTGCCGGTTTCGCTCGATGCATCTAATTGACATATCGTTTATTCGCCTAATACATATTAATGGGCGGTTATCCTCTTCGATTCTGCCGGAACGGTAAACATCGTACGGGCGTATTTTTCGCGCTTCGAAAACACAATGAGAATTATGCATTTCGTTGCTGCCCGTTAACGATGTTTATTTTCCCCGTTTCATGCAGCAATACGTATGTAATTTCATCTTGTATCACACCGTCTTTAATTAATATAAGGTTACCCATAAACGTAAATCTTGAGGGCCGTAAAACGAAGATGAGCGAGGAATAAAATCGCTCTAATTATAACATCCCGTCGGACGGGGTAGAAAAAGCGAAATTTATTACACCCGACAATTCGGTGGAAGTAATAACCGGAAATTAACAATTAAAGTCGTCGGTACGGCAAATTAAATTTAAAGGGCCATAAAAGATCATTTTGTTAATTGCCAGACAAAGAAAAAATGTTTATTTTTTGAGTAATTAGTAATAATGTTGATAATATTGTTCGTAATCTGTAAGCAGCAATTACGTTTTACTTGTTACACGACAGGATTAATGTTTTACCGTTGTTTTTAATCATATAAATTCGCGAAATAAGGAAAGATATAAAGTTTTAACATCAATTTAAAATATTTATAGATGTGCGTTTATAGTTTTGTAATAAAGTGTTTTATTAGCTAAATGGACATTCCGCCGGCAAGTCAACGTCCCTATATACTTCAAAATCACTTTGACTATTTTTTAGTGCTCATTGTGTTACGCTGCGCGAAATCATCATCTCAAACGGCCGTAAACCGCCCACATATCTATCTCGCGATACACAAACACCGGTATGCTGAGGCGCAAGTTGTAGCTATCTCTCTCGCACCGCGTGACGTCATGTGCGAAGCAAAAGCTGGCGGGTAACTGGGTTGGAATGTCGTTAGCACTGCAAAGTCACGTTATATTCGAAATTTTATTTATAAATATAGGGACGGCCTGGGTGTAACAAATGTTAAGAGAGTTTTCTATGCAGTTGTGTTTTAATTTTTATTATTAGTAAGAACTCATGCAAGATGGAAAAAATGTGTGGTTAGGGTGGAAATAACCTAACAGAAAATTGGGTATACCAAAAATTGCTTTTTTCTACTACCTGGTAAATTCTCATATAACTTGTTCCGATGCTGTATCCACTTATTTTTGTGAAAACTAATTCTCGCTCAAGGTTTTTTTTAGTGTAATGAGCATGTAGCATTTTAAGGTAATGGGAACTTAAATTATGACAACCCTAATCTATTAATTTTTTCCTAAAATGCAGGCTTTATGTTGCAAATGTCACATAAGTTACCGGTCACCAACTGCAATATCCTAACATTGATGAATATTTTAACAAAATGGCTGTTGAAACAACTAATGTTAGTGCTTGATTAACTAAAAATAGACTTAAGATTGACGAAAAATTATTTTATCCGAAATCGGCAGTAAAGTAGAACTTTACTGCCGATTTATTTTAATTTACGATTGTTGACTACTTTACTGTCGATTTCGGATAAAATACCTAATTTTTTGTCAATCTTAAGTCTATTTTTAGTTAATCAAGCACTAACATTAGTTGTTTGAACGGCCATTTTGTTGAAATATGCATCGATGTTAGGATATTGCAGTTGGTGACCGGTAACTTATGTGACATTTGCAACATAAAGCCTGCATTTTAGGAAAAAATTAATAGATTAGGGTTGTCATAATTTAAGTTCCCATTACCTTGAAATGCTACATGCTTATTACACTAAAAAAAAACCTTGAGCGAGAATTAGTTTTCACAAAAATAAGTGGATACAGCATCGGAACAAGTTATATGAGAATTGACCACCTTACTAGAAAATTTAATTTTCCACCCCCCGAGAGAGGGAGGAAAATGCCACTTTTCCTTCCTCCCTCTTTTTTTTAACAATTTTACATTATCAAGAGTTTTTGTACCTTGTCTAGTCCTATTTGATTTTGTAGGAAAAAGATTTACTCCGCGCTTGTCCAACCATTCTTTTAACAAACTATAGGTTTTCGATTTTTAAGGAAGGAAATTAACTGCAACTATTCTTGCCTGTTTAGCAAGATCTTGCGGCAGGTCTTCTTCGCTAGAACCCATTTTCAAAACGTAGGAAGAATTTCAGATTTATGATAAACATTCTGACAGCTTATAAAAACTGTTATGTTGTTATTACCAAAAATACCCTAGCAACAAAGCGTTGTCAACATAACGTCGGCGACGCAACACCTACTTAATATTTTGTCATAATTTTATAGCCCTATACCGGGTTAGTAAAAGGAACCGGAACGCTTAAAATGTCTTCGCTTCGCGTCGGGCATCAAACTATTCGCGGGAGGAAAAGCACTATTTTTCTCCCATGGTATGTAAATAGGTATTACTTAGCGTTTTTTATTTTCATTTTATCCTTTCTCTTGCTTGCATTCATCCACTGTGCTGCCAGATCTTTATTTTTTGCAAATTGAAAATATTTAATGTTCGGGAAGGCGTTGGAGTTTCTGTTCATATTTCTGCTGTCTACTACAGCACAGCTCGGCATATTTTAAATAGTACAATAGTCCAACAAATATCACAAACTTAATAAATAACCTGGTATGAAACACCCGTGCGTGGCTTCTAAATACCTCGTAAATAGTTATAAAAAACACAATAATTTCGGTAAAAACATCCGTGCATAGCGCATGCATATGCAAAGATGTTTGAAACATTTGAATCTGGTTCGCACATAACGTCACATGCGTGATCTATCTAGGATTCTCCTGTTTCAGTTTTGAGCGAGCTCGAAGGTCTAGCGAAAGGGGGGAAATCCCCCATGCCGGGGGGCGCGCGGAAAACCGTCGATCCCCAGCACCTACTGAAGGTGGCGGACGCTGCCAAATGCGCCCTCGACTTCTTGAAAAGCCGCCATCAGTCGGTCAAGTGCGTTACGACCAAGGGGGGCATATTGACGTCGACCGCTTTCACGACCGAAGACGATTCCTCGACCTCCTCCAACGACACCAGCGGAATAATGAAGAACGACGACAAAATATTGGCGACGTGTCTCGTCCTGTGCAAGGGCCACAACGCAACGCAGAACAGCGCCGAAGGTAAGGCATACTTTTATTAGAAACCAAGTTTCTTTACTCTGCTATCTTGATATTTTGGATGTAGATAAAAAGCGAATTGTTTTTTTTTCTTGCAAAATTTTGTTGGCATATCCAGTTATCAAATACTGAAATTTCAGGCAGCAAAGTTAAATATGTTTTCATAACCAAAATAAAATTGAAAAACAATTTTCTGTATGACCTTTGGTTAAAAAATCAAAGGTTATTAATCTATGGAAGGAACAAAAAAAAATTACCATGTTATTCTTATGGAAAATCAAAAAGTGCGATATTAAAACTGTTGAGCCTGTTGACTGTTGTCAAAAGATTTTAGAACCTTAGAGACTAAACGTTTCTTTCAAAAGATTTGAGATTCTATCCTATTTCAAACTGATAATTTTTTCAAAGAATTTAAGATGTTGAAACGATCGATCTGCTGCCTTAAGATTGTTTTTTTTAAGAGATGAATCCAGCCTTGAAAATATTATTTTAAATGGTCCTTAATCTTTTAAAGCCAAAATATGAATATTAGCCAAGGTAACAAATACAACAAATATTAGAAATATTCGTTGGCATCTTCAGAATTGAAGTGTAACTAAATCTAAATGCCAAATCTTGGTTTCCTGACTTCCTTAAAGTTTAGGGTTGTCAAATTCTATTTTATGACCATCATCAAGTATATCTTGGGCAACACTCGATTTCTCTGTCCTACCAGTCTAGTAAGGTTTAAAGAGCACGTGTTACTTGTGTAACGTTTTTACTGTTTGTAGTGTAAATTAAAACACGCACTCGTTTATTAACTACTGTACTAGAGTCTATTTGTTTGCACGTATATTTATTTATTTCGTCGCGAGTACCAAAGCTTGACTGACTGTTCCATGCTGCGCTGTTCCTTATATATTCAGTGCCTACGTGCCTTCCCGAATATTCCAGCGAGCTCCGGCATATTTCTTGTCACAATCTTGGCAGTTTATTTCGTTGACAATTTAGGGAATCTTAACTTTAACACTGTTCACTTTTAGGGGAGAGCACGGAGAACTCTGGTCCTCGCGAACTGATCCGCGAGGTGGTTCTTTTGACGGAAGATCGCAACTTGAGGGTGAAGGCGTACGCTCGCGACGTTCCCGTTCGCGAGCTGCCCGACTTCATGCGTTGGGCGGGCCTGGGCGGATGATGCCGCCGCTCGTATCGGCGCCGCTACCAAAAAATTATCCACTAAAAAAAAAACTCTGTAAATGTACATTTAATTAGGCGAATCACTGCAACAACAACAACGGACCGACGAGGCGTTCGATGCAAGTCGCGTGTCGCACGTTCGGCATAACAATGGTGAGTCAAAATATTTCGTACTAATATTTATTCATCAGATCGTTTAATTATCGATGTTGTAAATAATGGGCTGTCATCTGGATACTGGCGTTGTTCTTAACCTACCGCAACCAGTTAATTGTTGATCATTATGACTTTAACAATGGAACTGATTTACATATACTTTGAATTTGTGAAAGGTCAATTAAGGACTATTACATCACTAACTGCTTTTTTATTATATGTCAATAAAGTACGTCACACAAGTGACATCCCTAAACAATGTGTGACGTACTTTAGGGTCATTTTCGAGAAACACCTGCTTTCAGGAAAATGAAGATCAAAATATTTTTTTTGCTTAAATTGACTTTTGGTTGGATTTTTATAAATGTTTAGGGTTTTGTTTACTTACATTTAAGACAGGCAGTGCACTTTTTAATTTTTTTCAGAAAAATGTGTTTAGCTAGCTTTATATATCTCCACTGTGTTACCAATTTGAAATCCAAAATTTAATTCAATAAAAAAAGTTGTTATAAAAATAATTTGAAATAAAATGTACTTAGTTCACAAACTTTTGACTCCAATTTTTTATTAAAAATTGTATGTTTTTTTTTTTAAATATGTATGTTCGTTAAGTTACTTTTTAAAATAAACCATTCCGATTCTTTGTTAAAAAAACAATACCATTAATATTTTCTTTTAGTCACTTTATTAGTGAATTAAACTCTAATTTATAAACACGTATTACCAAGTGATAGTGTATAAAAATCATTTTAAGTATTTTTTTTTAACAAAAACTAAAAAAAGTAACGAAATAGACATTGGTATCACAACGGACAGGGGTACACAAATGACTTAATCAGATAACGTAAAAAAGAAACTATAGGGTGGTACGACTTTAGAGTAATGCATAAACAAAATCCCCTGTAGTGGTGCTCACTTGCAGAATAACAACTTAGATTTCTTAATTGTAGACACCCTTTTTCTTTGACTATAAGCTGGTGAAGGTCCCTTTTAGTACTTTTATATTGCGTGGAATTTTTCCTTGGATGTAATCTATATCATGAGTTGTAATTACAAATAATTTTAAATTGGTTAATCATAAACTACTTTTAATAAAAGCGACGGTAAATATCCACTTTGTTGTCGAAAAATTCTATTGCGTTACCCTAAATTCCATTGCGTTACCATAAGGTAACGCAGTGGACAAAGTTTTGTAAAACCATATTTAAAAAATAATAAAAAGACATTATAGTCATTAATTACTCTCAATGAGCTTTAGTGCCCTAAAATAAACATAAACATGAAAAATAGTATTTTTTCTTACCTTATTTTTATTATTTTTTTGAGTAACTTAGCGGACAAACAATTATTACATTCGCGTTACCCGCACCTGTTTCAACCGATATCTTCTTCCTGATTGAATAAATAAATTCAGCTGGGTAATGTGTACGTCCGAACATCATTTGTTGATCACGTGAGTGCCAAAAAAGTTGCCGGTAACGCGACGGACGTAACGCAACGGAAAAAATGTCTGGGACATGAGTCAAATTTAAAAAAAGTAGATTAAAATTAATTATTTTGTATATAAATTGTTTACTGTAATAACTAAGGATGTTATTTATTGCTATAAAGCAACACAAAGTTCTGGTTATTCAATATTTAAAACGCTAATGGGACATTCGAAAATGTGTGTTTCACAAGTTTCAAAATTAAAAAAAAAAAATATTCTGAAATAACTAAACAAAAATTTTCGGAAAGAGTTTACTAAGGGCTTGTTAGGCTTTCACTTGGTTTTTAAATCAATAAGATCCGATAATTTTTAACAAAGTTATTGGAATTCAAACTTACGGACAGCGGAAGGCGGGTGTTTTTTGAAAACGACCCTTTATCAACAACAATATAATAAAATTAAAAAGGATATGTTAAAACATGAATTAAGGTCTTTCCTTTGCAGGTTCCCGATGAGGCTGTTGACTGTTTGGCAAGACTAAAAGTTTATTTTTTGTAACGACTTCCTTCTAAACTCCTTTAGTGATTGTTAAGTTTGAACCGCCGAAATTTTATCATGTAACTATAAAAAATTGTGTATATAGTATGAGACCCGATTCCTCCGGTTTTCCACACAACTATTTTAAAGCGCCATCTGTGCCATTTTATATATATTACGACAACTTAATTTTTATACACTTTTAGAATATATGTACTTTATTATCGACCTCCTCCCCTCTAGCTTATAGAATACATCTTTTTTAGTATGATATATTATAGAAAATAATAATGTAAATGTACTTAATTTACTGTTTTTTACACTACTTTTTGTGCCATTCACTTTTATTGGCAACATTTTACTGTATAGTTTTTTTTCGTCAATTATTTCATTAGGTATTATACAATTTACTTATAATTATAATTATTATTATTGTTAAAGCCGCAATTATTTGCTCAGGAATTTATTGTACATAATAAATATATTACAAATTGTGTTCAAATATTTGTTTTATTTCTATTTTATCTATCCCAAGAATCCCAGATGTCAAAACAAAAATTAGAGACATATTGTATTGTTAAGACCACGTCTCAGAATATTTTAAATCTCAAAACTTGCTTAGGAGATCATTTTGTTTTTAAAGGTAAGTATATTTTAAAATATAAAATGTAATATTTTAATTATCACTTTTAATAAACGCCAAAAGTCCAGAAATTTAATTAGGCACGAGCGAAGCTTGCCAGCGAGTGTTTAATAAAATTAGTGTCTATAAAAGTTTATAAACGAGTTGCATGTCATTTTTCACACAGAAACGTCACTTTTTATTTGAGTTTTGCCTTGCAAAGAGGCTGTCCATAAATCTCGTGACGCTGGTAGTGGGGAGGATTTGAAGGACCGACACGATTTTTTATGTCTGGGAGGGGGGGTTTAAAACGTCCCATGAAACCACATTTTAAAATGTCAAAAATTGTCTAAAATGTCAAAAACTTATTTTAAAATGTTAAAATTTGTTTAAAAAGATCTGTTTTAATATTCCGTTTAGTGCAGTTAAATTTTCTTTAAAAATGAATCCAAACACGAAATATATTGAGGTAAGTCGTAGTAACTGTTTATTATTCAGAATTCGTGGATTTTATGTTTCAATTTACAATGTAACTAGCTAACCTACAATTGGCAGTTTGTGCACAAAAATGCCACAGTAAACGATAATAAAAACCAAATTGGAGTACCGTTATTTAGGAAAGTTATGATCGTCGAAAACACTTGTCTAGGATCCTCAGTCGGGTCAATTGTTTTTATAACGTCTAGAAGTTCTAATTCTTTTATGATTTCACATTTTTTAAGTTTAATAATTCACTAGGCGACAAAAATAATATTAAATTTTTACGGAAAAATGGTAGATCTGTGGTCCACAGGCTGTGGAGAATAAAATTTTATCGTAAACATGTTTTTTTTCAAGGGTATAACAATGTTCATATTATTAACACTCATATATGAGGCTTATAAGCCTATATAGAAAGACACTATATATTTGTACGAAGTTCGAAGGTCAAATTATTATACACCGCCGTACAATAATGAAAACACTTTAAAATTACATAGAAAGAGTGGTTCCATCTATCATGTTTAGCTAATTTAAATCATTTTTTAGATAATATTAAGTATTTGTCGTAGAAAAAGTATAGTTTATAGACTTTACTAGGCACTCTATAGAGTCTATAGACTAACAGTGAAACAACCAAAAATAAAAAATAATCATTTTCACTTGGGGGACATATCAATATATTCAACCAGTATTAAAGCTTACAAATTAGTTTTCTTCTGAAAAATATTAATATAAAATTTCGGTAAGATACATACGTAGTTTTTGATGCTATATTTATTACGGTATTCTAATATTCTAAAAACTTAATTACTGGGTTGGGTATACACAAAAAACAATCTATGATTTTTGAACAATAATATAATGGACCTAAATTAGTAACTAATTAACTTCCACAGCCGTTTTGAGAGCAAGATAATCTATCATAATAATTTTTTCTTCGAATGTGAATGTGGGTAACGGTTAAAATGTGCACACGCCAAGCCAAAAGAAAAAATGCAGCTAATAATGTAAGCAAGAGATAATTATGCATAATTTGGACATGCCCAAAACGTAAATAGTAATTATTACAAATAATCACTGTTATCAGAAGTAAATTATTTTTATTGTAATAAAAATTGGGCGCTATTGTATGACAGATTTGTACCGTTAAGACATTTGGACATTTACGTACATTACGAGGTGTGTTCAGAAAATAACAGGAATTGTTAAAATTCGCGGCTTCGGAGGGTCAAGTTGTCATAAAATTTTCTTTATTATGTTGGTACACATGCCCCCGAAGTACGATAAAAACTTTAGCTGTTTACTTTGTATGTGGCAGCCGCTAAGGTTAGACGTGTTTTATGAGCTCGGCGATTTTTCGTTCGTTAAAAGAAATGGTTCAAAGAAATTTGTATCCAATTTGGCTTAAAAAATAAAATTAATTCTGTGAAATGTTAACAAAGGCCTATAGTGAGTCTGCTATAAGTAAAACAAGAGTTTACAAGTGGTATAAGAGTTTCCAAGACGTTGAAGATGACGAACGCCCCGAACGCCCAAGCACATTAACAACTGATAAAAACATGGAAAAAGTGGAAGAAATGGTTATAAGCCATCAGAGAAGTCGCTGATGATGTTGGTATATCGATTGGCTCATCCCATGAAATTTTTTCGAATGTTTTGGGTATAAAACGCGTGGCAGCAAAATTTGTTCCAAAATCGTTAAATTTTGAACAAAATTTTTGTCCAAAAACAATACTGTAATGATGCCCTAGCCTCCATATTCGCCAGACATGCCTCTGTCTGACTTTTTCCTATTCCCAAAAATAAAGAGAACCTTAAAGGGCCGTCGTTTTGCAAGCATAGATGACATTAAAAGCGCATCGCTGAAAGAACTAAAGATCGAGTTTTAGAAGTGTTTCGAGTATTGGTAGAAGAGCTGGCATATGTGCATAATATCCAATGGGGACTATTTTGAAGGCGACAATTTTAATGTAGACGAATAAATAAATATTTTTTTCAAAAAACGAAAATTCCCGATATTTTCTGAACACACCTCGTATATCTTAATAACGTTAATAAAACCCTCGAATTTACATAACCCGTCGTTAATTATTAATTCCTTTAATCGTCATCGTCGGTATAATTAAATAGCTTCCGGTTGGTCACTGCTAACTGTAAAAAGGCATTTTGAGCGAAAAAAAATCCCAAGACTTTATGGATAATAAGCGGTTTTGATTACGAGATTAAAAAAACGTTATATTAGACAATGGTTCCGAACGCAAAACTTTTCCCAAAGAATTTTATGCTAATGATAAATTTCAGTTTTAATGCAGTCGTATAAGGGGTTTATGGCTGAAACAAGTCGCACATTTTACCTATAAAGTTATTAATATTTACGTGACGTTAAATTTAGCTAATGCACAGAGCAACAATTGCAAACTTAATGCTGGAACTAATTTGGCATGGGAAAAGTACATATACTGCAGGTGCATCACTTTTCTCTTACGGTTTGTTTTACTGCTCGAGAACGCAATTTAATGGTAACATAAAAAACACTAATTGTCGATTTTTTCAATTTAATAATGCATATATATTGCATTAGTACAATTTTTTTTTTTTTTAACATTAAAATTTGTGTCAGTAAAGGAGAAATTTTGGGCCGCCACTGGTTGTTTCTGAACTATGACAACTAACGCAAAATATACTTGCACAGTAGGCAATAATCTATATTCATTAAAAATTTGATTACTTTGTTTTTGTTTTGCATACTTAGATTTTTTTAGGTACTTCGAATAAAATAATACTTACTTTTTACGTCGATTGATGCTCATGTGGCTATTTTTTTAAGTGTTCCACAAAATCATAATAAATGTTCAACTCCCTTTAAAATTTCCAATGGAACGTCATATTTTTTATTGCAGATTCGGATCATTCGACTAAAAATAGATAGATTTTGTCTAAAACATTTTTTCATATTTCTAATAGATGGCGCTGTAATGAAAAAAAATTAATTTTGTTCGATTTTTCTTCTTATACGATTCTGCAATAATTTTTCTATAAAAATATCACTTTTTTTTAATAATTATCTTATTAAATTAAATCTGATTTTTTAAGTACCTACGATTTTTAACTAATATTTAAGTTTCCTTTGGTTTAAGTTTTATACATTATTTCATTCGGTGATAATTATCAATTGCGCACCATGGTCACTTTTTACCTGTCATCATTAAATCCTTTAATTTAAAGGATTATTGTACTATTTTTAATAAAAATACCTCATTTAAGGTAAAAAAAAACATTATTTTGTCAATTAATTAATTTAATCCTAATTGAGGTATAAAAAATGGTATTTAGTTATAAATAATAATTATTACTGTGGTATAAAAAAACTATTTATAGTTTAGCATTATTTAATCAATTTAGTTCGAAAATTAATTTGCAAACAAAAAGACTACCTACCTTTCGTTAAGCAGTTATTCATAATGGATTTTTTAACACTGTTCAAAAATCCATGGAAGAAAAAATAGAAATGATTTTGATTAATGGAAAAGCAGCGTTTTCCAGAAAAAATTCGATCACGTAGTTCATTTCACCGTACAGTCAAGCAGTTTACTACAAACGGGAGTGTTCAACCGAAAAAAAAAGTTCGTCCAAATATTTAATATTGTTATTTTGAGCACCTACTCTAATTAGAATTTAAAAAATAAATAAATAAATTTAAAAAATAAAACCAAGTATTTTATTCAAAAATTATTGGAGAATCGTATACAGAAAAAAAAATCGAACAAAATTAATAAAATAAAATAGGAATAGTTTCTCTAATACTTCTTTATAAACAATGTTGCAAAAATCAAAATTTTATTTTAACAGTGTACTCATGAATATTAAATTAAATACCTACACCTTGTTACAAAATGTCTTTGAAAACCAAACAATAAATTCGTTATCAAACCTCCGCAAAATCCAATTTATGTCAATCAAAGTGATGCCCTGATTTAGTGGCACATTTCCGACATCAAAAACCGCACGTTCCCGCCAAATTTGCCATTAAATACTCACCGTTAAAACTTGTCATAGTTATGCGGTTAAAAACACATTTATATGCCTTCCAAAGTTAATTCATGACTTCTGTTTCGCGCAAAAATCACAAACGAGATTTTAACCGCAGAAAACGCAAATTTATGTATTGAATACGTTTATTTAACCAAAATGCTTACCTATGCATATGGGCGAATCTCACAAAATGTGTTACCCCGTGATATTTAATAAAACTAAATAAGTTTCACCTACACTTTTATTGTGTTTTGATCTTT